TTTTGCTTTGTGTTGGCGTGAGCGTTGTCGAATTTCGGCTATGTGGATGGCTGCATTTGAATTCATGTATTCATAGTCAGCTGTTGAAGCGACGCCAACGCCAACGCAACGCCAAAGTTCTATGTGGACGGGCCTTAAGCGCGCAGTGCCAGCGCGGAGCGGTGCGAACAGATCGTAAACACAGCTACAAACTCTAATTCAATTAAGTTTGCTGATCAAAAGATTGGCGGGCAAAGCTTTTGCATTTTCAGTTTCTAATAAAAATGCGATGCTCAAACAAACGCAAGCGGCAACGTGCTAAACACTTTGGAGAAATACAGAAAATGCAAAAGGAAAACCAGAAAGAAAAATGCCTGCAAAAAGGCTACATAATGCGTTCAACAAGATCAGTGCGCGGATCGATCATCAACGCCAAAAAGCATATCGAACGCAAGTAGATGAAAAAACAACAAAAATTCCACGGCAGTTAGCCTAAAAGCAATCGCTATGCGTACGCGATCACGTTTCACGATCAATTTCATGATTTTCCCTGATCACTTTTCCTCCCCCTGTCACTATTCGCTGTTATGTCATGCCGCTGCTAAAAGACGATTTTATTAGTTTAGCAATTGTCAAACGCCATAAGGCTGTAGCGTTTTTACAACAGTTGATCATCGATGATATTCAAATTGTTATGCGCGCGCAAATCGAGCGATCGGTGCAGATCGGCAGCATAAATTTGTCAGCCCCTCACCACCTCATTGGTTTTGGATACCATGCAGACGCGTTTGATATTGAATTGGGTTCCGTTTGTCACCGACAACATAGAGAAATCATGTTGTTGATATGTGTAGCTTATGTGTTGTATGTTATACCCCTCTCAGTTGAGAGCAAAATGCATTCTGCTCGAAATCTTCTAAGCCTCGATTGGCAATTACATTTAGAAACGATTCGCCTTTAGCCTTACAGGGGCACTTCAAGCGATGATTCCCCGTTCTCGTAGTCGTCCTAAAGCTCTCTGCCTCGGAATCTTTTAAATTTGCATGCCTCACACCAAAGTGAATTCAGCGACCTAGCTCTTGTATAGCCGATTTCTGATTGCCATCAGGAACAGAACGGCTGGAAAATCGCCTTTTCGTCCTCGCGCCTCAAGAAATTCCAGTTTTCCATATGGGCCTTAGGGTTCATAATTCCCATATATTATAGCAGCTTCACTCTCTTCGTACTTACCCATCGCCAGATAAGCTTTGAGCTTTATGCCCAACCAAACGTAGCTGGTCTCGGCTATGTTCCGGTGCATAAATTCCTTGGAGACTTTGTCCTCGTTATGGTTATAGCCACCGATTCCCTAGTCATCATCTCACCGGAGTATCGGACAATCGGGTTTTTTGGCTGAGGTAGTCACCATCTCCAAGACCGAAAGCTCGGCCTCCATCTGCGGCCACTTGTCAAGGACTGCAGTAGTTGGATGACTCGTATATGTCTGCGACGCGAAGGTGGTTTATTACTGTTTGATATGAGCTTAAATAGGTCTATTATATCTTTGCACTTTTGAGAAGGTTTCGAAACGTCGTTTCGTGATCGATGGCGTCACTGTTCCGCTTGGTCTCCTATCTGGACTTTTCAGGGTTGTTTTTAATCGAGCTTCCGCAGACACTAACTATGGACTCGCGCACGTTCTGGATGTTCTCCTGAATTTCTGTCGGCAATCTCCTTCAACTTGTAAATTTTACATTTCAACAGGTCTTTCCATTAAACACCATCGGTAATGCAGACTCGCCCCTATACGCCTGTGGCCTCGATGTTTTGGGAGCAGGGGAAGATAGTTTCCCAACTATAGAGTTGGGGTCGTCATTCCCGAAGGGTGCACGTTCATCTGAATACCCACCAGATAGGGAGATGAGACCTCAGGTGTGCATACTTAACTCCTATCTGAGAACGAAAAAGCTACAGACTTGGCTTTGCTACCAGGGTGAGTGGTAAAAATAGAGCCGGTAATTTAAGCAGCTAATCTACCTGAGCTGATGTGTTTTTCACCCACTATGCGTTGGCTCGCGCCGGCTGGTACTGCCTGAGACTGACTCGGCATCCGTCTCCTGACAAGAGCAGAGCAAGGTATTCTCCTTAAATTACTTCAATAAGATGCGCTCGAGGGATATTCATGTTTTCAAGTGTACAAGCATACAAATATTTCCTGGCTCTTTGCAGGTATCAGTGTCATCCGTTCCAATGCATTGGAAGTCCGTTTATCTTGGATCTAACCTTTTCATGGAAAATGTAATTATTCTGTAGGTGTGAGTTTTGCTCTACTGTGCAAGCGTGCTTCCACTATTTCTTGATGTGTTGAAGAACTTTCTTTTGCCCATTCTACTTGTGCTGCCAGAATGTTAAAACGCTTCGAGAAAGCTATATGAATTTGAACACCTTTGGGGAGCCAAGGTTAGAAGCAGTGGAACTATGTGTTTGTCAGTATATCTAAAGACGTGTGTCGATCTTCATTTATCCCGCCTATTTTTTGCGGATCTCAATTTCGAAATTTGTTCTTAGTGGTATATTTTTGAATATCAGCAGATTATCAGCATTTTACATGAGTCTATACATATATGCATCTCCATTGAAATCGCTGAAGCATACCCACAGCAGATGTTGTCAATTGGAGCATTTGAACTTGACACTCAAAAGCGCCCAATTGTTATGTATGAGACACTTAATTGTCTTTGTTTTAAACAAAGCAGAAAAAATAAATAAAAAATGTAAATACATATATCGCAACGATATAAGCATAATCATAAAAAGAAGTACTAGCGATAAAAAAAAAAAAACAAAATAAAAAACACAGCAATAAAGAAAAGCGCGCGTTATTGCTAAATCTGTTGACGATCATCAATTCAATGAGCGCAATTGTGGCAAGCGAGGGTGTGGTGCAATATAAGCTCTAAATTGCGGTATATGTATCAGGGATGAAAAATGGAAATTTCAGATTGTACCTAATATCATAAAATAAATGCACCTAAATGAGACAGATTGTACCTAAAAAAAGTTACATCATTCGTATGTAGTTTTTTAATAATATGTTTAAAAATATGAATACAGAAGGTGGATGTACTTTAAACTTGATTAGCTTTTTTTTAACTGAGCTTGTATCTACATCCAGAGTACAGTCTAATGGGAATCGGAGAAGCTTTTTGACTACTGAAAAATATTGACGAAATAGACAAAAAACACACTTTGCGAAGTTTACTTTTTTCCAGCTTTTTATAAAGCAACAGAAAAAGTGTGCTAATTTATCCGATTCCCTTTAGTAGCTGCAGCGATTCTAGAGAAAATAATGGGAATTGCCGTAAGTATATTCGAAAGCAGTTTAAATAACGGGTGATTTTTTTGAGGTTAGGATTTTCATGCATTAGTATTTGACAGATCACGTGGGATTTCAGACATGGTGTCAAAGAGAAAGATGCTCAGTATGCTTTGAAATTTCATCATGAATAGACTTACTAACGAGCAACGTCGAATTTTCAGTGAATGGGCCCTAGAAAAGTTGGCAGAAAATCCGCTTTTTTATCGACAAATTTTGTTCAGCGATGAGGCTCATTTCTGGTTGAATGGCTTCGTAAATAAGCAAAATTGCCGCATTTGGAGTGAAGAGCAACCAGAAGCCGTTCAAGAACTGCCCATGCATCCCGAAAAATGCACTGTTTGGTGTGGTTTGTACGCTGGTGGAATCATTGGACCGTATTTTTTCAAAGATGCTGTTGGACGCAACGTTACGGTGAATGGCGATCGCTATCGTTCGATGCTAACAAACTTTTTGTTGCCAAAAATGGAAGAACTGAACTTGGTTGACATGTGGTTTCAACAAGATGGCGCTACATGCCACACAGCTCGCGATTCTATGGCCATTTTGAGGGAAAACTTCGGAGAACAATTCATCTCAAGAAATGGACCGGTAAGTTGGCCACCAAGATCATGCGATTTGACGCCTTTAGACTATTTTTTGTGGGGGCTACGTCAAGTCTAAAGTCTACAGAAATAAGCCAGCAACTATTCCAGCTTTGGAAGACAACATTTCCGAAGAAATTCGGGCTATTCCGGCCGAAATGCTCGAAAAAGTTGCCCAAAATTGGACTTTCCAAATGGACCACCTAAGACGCAGCCGCGGTCAACATTTAAATGAAATTATCTTCAAAAAGTAAATGTCATGGACCAATCTAACGTTTCAAATAAAGAACCGATGAGATTTTGCAAATTTTATGCGTTTTTTTTAAAAAAAAAGTTATCAAGCTCTTAAAAAATCACCCGTTATATTCCAGAAGTCAAATAGCTATTGAATAGATTTGAGGCCCTCAACTACAGAAAATATGAAATATGAATAAATCCTAGACCCAGGAATGTATGGGCGAATAAAATTAATAGAATAGTTAAAAATGTTATTATATGATGGAAACTTTAGCTTTTATGGTTTCAATGGATTAAAAAATGCATTCAAACAATTGCAAGGGTAAAACTGTAAATTCAACCCCGTCATTCGACGCAATGACGTTTTATTGAAGAAATTAATTCCAATTTTGAATACAAAAAAATATAACAAGAATTACGAATTTTAGGAAAGCTAAGTAAAGTG